CCCCCCCCCCCCCCCCCCCAAAAAAAAAAAAAAGAGAGAATACTTTGATTCCCTAAACAACTACGTCTAATATTAAAACTAACATTAATTTTTAGGATTAATTGTATGGGAGATCCTCAAAGTATGAGATTAGTCTCATTCTGATCTATAATATTTTAATTGCATTATTTTGGTCGCTGAAATATTGAATATGCTTCTACATAATCCTACAAACAGACAATCTCCAGATTCTTAACGATTTTTTTATCATAAATTTGTCACGTGATACTTAAATATGAATAAAAAAAATAATTTTGATAACTCTTGACTAAATTTTTACTCAAAATTTGGTTAAATTGCTACCCAAATTGTACAGTTTTGATCATGAGCTATCCCAATTTTGATCAAAAACTACTCATATTACACATTTTTTGTCAAGAACTACTCAAATTTTGTTTAAGAGTTATCAAAATTACTTTTGTTCATATTTAGGTATTATGTGACAAGCTTATAATAAAAAATCGTTAGTAATTTTGATGTTATCTGTTTGAGGGACTATATAACATATTCAATACTTTAGGGACCAAAATGATACAATTAAAATATTGGATACCAAAATGAGACAAATTTCATATTTTGAAGATCTCAAATGCAATTAACCTTAATTTTTAAAATGTCGATGTTGCTATAAAAATATGGTTTAAACTTTAAATCGACGATTTTTAAAAGAATAATGCTATAGAAACTTTATTTAAGGACCTAATTTAGAGATATAATAATGTGACGTCAATGCAACTATTAGATTAGTTGTGAGTTCTGATGTTAGATGAAGATCATAGTCAATCCAATGGTTGTACATCATTAGATTATTAAATTAAGTTCTCAAATTAAGTCCAAATAGTATTTTCCTATTTAAAATTAAATAAAAAGGCTCACATTTTTTTTTAGAGTAAACCCTTTAAATATTTTTTGAAAACAATCATTTGGTTTAATACATGTTTTCATGCAAATAACAGAGATTAAAAGATAGGATATAATGAATTATAAAATGGATATAGATTTTTTCCATTATATTTTTATTCATTTTCTCTCAATATTAGATGAAACCCACTTTTAATTAAACTATTGTGATTGATTAAGTCACAAAAATTAGTTTTTTTTAGGGATCAACCACAAGAGTTTGAGGGGATAATCGGGGTGGAACCCTTGCTTGGGGGTGACCATAGCAGCCTTAACCCACGAGGGAAATCATCCAGTAGAGTTTAAACGATGAAAAATTGCAGGCACTCTCAAAGGCCGACTTGAGTCATAGCCTAATTACTGTACCACAAAACTGTTAGTGGGAGCAGCTGAACTACTTGTGAATTAAACCCTATTTGTAAATGTCAAGAGAGTCAATAAGGACCTTAAAGGGGACACTACCATTCACTGGACTACCAGACTAATTGTACCAAAATTAGGTTAAGAACACGATAACATGAGATACTCATTGAAGCTACCCCTTGTTTTCTGTATGAATTAGTCCACACATTAGGCGTACTTTTAACATTAATTCAACTGATCAATCAACATCACCCTTCCAAAAAGGTTTCTTCCGGTACCCTCCAGATAAACTTGATTAAATTTTCTTCAAGACTTCTAACTTTGAAATCTTCATCAACTCATAAACTTTTCCATTAATCAGACTTTTTATTTTCTTTAAAGAAATCCATTAAGGGTTACTCTCTTATCATTTCCTTAAAGAGAAGGAAAACCCAAAAGGATACATTCACCATGATAGAAATACATAATATTAAATACCAGACATTGAACATATCAGTAAATTAGGTTTCCTGCATTTAATGCTTTACGTTAATTAGAAGAGCAAAAAACCTCCCTCAAAGCACACCTGTTACACATAAAAACCTTTTAATAATCAAGTTGACTCCGTCTCGTGACAGATGAAATTGTACTGGCTAGGATGAGCCGAGGGGAACATCGTACGTCAGCGAATATATGTAAGCCGATTCAAACATGACTGTTCTTGCGTTGAAAGGGACATTTGTTTACCATTACTAAGTTGTTAGCTGTCTTTTTCAAGTTTTGGTGATAGTTTCACCATTGTTGGTTGCTTGATCATTTGAGCTGCAGATCCTCTCCAATTATGTTGTTCATGACTTCACTCAAACCAATTGAACTGTTCCCAGTCCCAAAAAGCATCATTATCAGCAGGCACATCCCAACTATCTTTTTTCATATTTTGAGACGGATTGGCATGGTCTCCAGAGGATGAGCTATCCGGTGAGCTTGTTCTCTTCCTCATTGATTGGTTTTGAAGTGATGATGTCATTGCTTCGTTGCCATGATGAGGTTGGTGAACTATTGCTTCACGTCTGGTCACTTGTCCTGGAGGTCGTCTATCAAATGCTTGCAAGATTTGATTTTAAATAGACTCGACACAAACTGAATTTTTGCCTTGCATGATATCAAAAAACAATATCATCAAGATGAAATAGGTAAAAGAAATTCTGAAAGGGATCATTCGAATTTAGCAATGGTAACTAAGAAACACTAGGAAAAACACACACACGCACACACAGTTAAATTGGTGCAGCACAAGGCCTTACTTAATCATAGGATCAAATGAAAGAGATACCCCATAGTTGGTTGGCTCTGAATCTTTGTATCAGATTCATATAATAAGCTAGATTTCAAATGAAGTAAAGATTGCATGTGTTGCCATTAAAACTTCTTTTCAAAGTAATTTTTCTTTTCATCTTTATCATCCAATCAAATGCTTAGTAAGATGTTGAGCTAGAATGTAATTCTAGAAATCAATTTTTTTCTTACAAAAACCCAGAAAAACTATTATAGAGAAATTTCGGGGTTTGAATTATCCAGATGAAGTAATTAAGAACTGTAATCATTCACTGAAAGGAACTTGCCGGTGGTAAGTGTTTACCCTGTCTGTAGATGCCTAGATGGTTGCAACTTAAAACCTTATCCTCTCACTCTTTCCCCCAAAAAGAGGCATATGGTATTATTATGTATGTGTATATATATATCCTATCTGGTTGACACAATTTATTCCTTCAGGTTTTCAAGCTAATGTCGGTGTTGTTATCACCTATATACATGAGGTGGACGAGGAAGAGGATCGAGAATGGTTTTTAAGATCTTATTTTCTGAGGTTTATTTACCCATCAAGATCCAGGAGAAATAGGAGAGAGAATGGTTTTCAAGATGCTATTTTCCGTAGTTATTTACGCATTGAGATCCAATCATATTCCCAATTTGGTTATGGTGGTAAACCTAGAATAAGTCACACACCTTAGGAGTTGTACTAGTTGATGAAGAAGCTTCTCTTTTAATGGCTTTATACTCATTCATCTTCCATTCAGTCTTCCTTCCACTTGGAGCTCTTCCTGTGTAGAAACCATTGTTTTCTTCATTCCAATTATTCGATTATTATCGGAGAAAACAGACCCCGGAGATCCAGTAGCTTTCCAGTATCCGAAAGCCGTAAGCCTATTCGGTCTTCCTCCACGGGTCTCTTTCTCTTGTCTAGGGATGAAGAAGAACCACTGCTCAGTGTATCCTTGACAAAGCTCTCCTGCAAATTCTGACCCCCAAAACAAAAGAGCATGGAAATGAGATTCCATGATCAATTCTAGTACTGTCTTTGATGCTTAATTCAAAAGAGCAAAAAAAGTAAATCAAAAGCTTATTTTGAGATCTTCATGAAGCACAGGCCACTTGACCAAAAAAAAAATGAAGCACAGGCCACAAGCTTACTTAGGAAAACAAAGAGAGAGAGAGGGTAATAAACAAAGTGAAAACTACTGTTTGAAATATTTCCTTTATCNAATGAGATTCCATGATCAATTCTAGTACTGTCTTTGATGCTTAATTCAAAAGAGAAAAAAAAGTAAATCAAAAGCTTATTTTGAGATCTTCATGAAGCACAGGCCACAAGCTTACTTAGGAAAACAAAGAGAGAGAGAGGATAATAAACAAAGTGGAAACTACAGTTTGAAATATTTCTTTTATCTTGACAAGAGTTAAGAAAATAGAGCTTTTTAACAAACCTTGGGAAAAAAAAAAAATTGAGATTGTATAGTTATATTTTCCAAAAAAGAAAAAGAAAACCAAAGGAAATGGAAAAAAATAATGGTCAGGATGAGATTAACTTGGAAACTTAGAAAAACAACAAGTCATTCTGAACTTGCTATTAACAGACCCCAAGAGGCTGTGTTTAGGCATTTTGCACNTTTTTAACAAACCTTGGGAAAAAAAAAAAATTGAGATTGTATAGTTATATTTTCCAAAAAAGAAAAAGAAAACCAAAGGAAATGGAAAAAAATAATGGTCAGGATGAGATTCACTTGGAAACTTAGAAAAACAACAAGTCATTCTGAACTTGCTATTAACAGACCCCAAGAAGGCTCTGTTTAGGCATTTTGCAAAGAAAGAACTGAGTAAACACCAACGATATATAATTGGATATTAAAAATTTAACCAGTCGATCCAAATTAAGAATACTTGTTTTTGAGGATCATGAAACTGAAAAAAAAAAAACAAAAAANAGTCGATCCAAATTAAGAATACTTGTTTTTGAGGATCATGAAACTGAAAAAAAAAAAAAACAAAAAGCATGAGAGAAAGATGGGAATTTTACTAACGTGGGAGGTCCCATGGGTTGTAGTCGTAGATATCGACAACAGGTATAACCCGGTGGAGATCTTGTCTCCTTCCTTCTAGCTTGTTATGCAGATAAAACGAAACCAATTCGTCTTCTGTTGGGTAGAATCTAAAACCGGGTGGGCGATCTTCCATTACCTCCCTCAAGCAGCTGCTGTTCTCTTTCTGGCTATGTATGTATCAAACTTGGCTCTTAAGTTGAAACTAATTCTTCTGCTGTTTTTTATAATCTAAAACTTGTGGCCGATCATCCATTACCCTTTCTCTCTCTCTCTATAATATAGGTGTATGTGTGAGTAGATACACCATATACATTAAAAACTTGGGTCTTAAGTCAGAGACCGAGTTCACGTACGTTTTGGTGNGTCGATCCAAATTAAGAATACTTGTTTTTGAGGATCATGAAACTGAAAAAAAAAAAAAACAAAAAGCATGAGAGAAAGATGGGAATTTTACTAACGTGGGAGGTCCCATGGGTTGTAGTCGTAGATATCGACAACAGGTATAACCTGGTGGAGATCTTGTCTGCTTCCTTCTAGCTTGTTATGCAGATAAAACGAAACCAATTCGTCTTCTGTTGGGTAGAATCTAAAACCAGGTGGGCGATCTTCCATTACCTCCATCAAGCAGCTGCTGTTCTCTTTCTGGCTATGTATGTATCAAACTTGGCTCTTAAGTTGAAACTAATTCTTCTGCTGTTTTTTATAATCTAAAACTTGTGGCCGATCATCCATTACCCTTTCTCTCTCTCTCTATAATATAGGTGTATGTGTGAGTAGATACACCATATACATTAAAAACTTGGGTCTTAAGTCAGAGTCCGATTTCACGTACGTTTTGGTTTTATACTGACAGTGGGGGGTTATGTCGGGTCATTTGTACAAGGGTTAGGCAGAGAGAGAAAGGAGAGATCCGAGTGAAATGAGAAAAAGTTGGGGCCATTGTGGCTGCTCCGAAACTTCCACACGGTTATGTGGAAACTACTTCACCCACTGCCCCATGTCAGGTAATTCGGTGTTTTATTTATTTATTTTGCTCATGTAAGTAGAGATAAAAGGAGATAAAAGATAAGTGTACTTACAAGTGTTTCTATGAGCGGGTAAACCTACTAACTGCTTAATCTCTGAAAAAAGAAAGGAATCGAACTAATGTACTGTACAGGTGACCTCCTGTGTGCTGTGTGAATTAGCCTCTTGCTCCTTCAGCACAATTCTTTTGACTGCCTGCGGAAAGTGGTCGCGAAGAATAATTCCTTTCCTTTTCATGGAGAATCCCCATTTTTCAAGAGCATGTGCAGCTTCATTGTCCTCAGCTTCATTGCATGTGCAGCATGTGTAATTCGGTGTTTTAGTTTCAGGAGATAGCGTACTATAATCATTAAATTGATGGTATAATTAATTTAATATTAGGTCACACTATTAATTTAATTATTCTTTCAAACAATTACATATTGGTCGTGAGATAAATATATATTTTTATTTGTTCTCGACAAGCTTAAAATTTTTATTTGTTCCTAATTGCACGATCCAAGGAAAAAATTATAAATACTAAAGTAGGATTGTATAGAGTTACTCCAACTATGCATATTTTAAAGGTCAATGTTATTATTGGGATTTAAAAATTTAAGTTAATATTTAGATATAATAATGTGATAAGTGATAAAATTCCATTAAAAAATGCTAATTGTTTAATTACAATAATGCTATTAGATTATATCAACTATTACATCATTAATTAAGCCAATATTTTAAGTGAAATTTACATGTGTGAAGAGACAACTTTGCATAAGGTTCAATATTAATCTGGTGATTGAACGAGATAACATACAGGGATTCTTGAGTTTTTCCCTTATGCTGAAAAAGCATTCCTTATTCAGTTTATTTTTATTTTTCAAAAAACTTCAACCGAGACACGCAAGAAACATGCCAATTCAGTAGCTTTTTGCTCAATTTTTCGTGGAGTAAATTTCTCATCGGTATGAGTCAAGGGGATGGCCCCTGGCCTCTGATGTCTTGAATTTGTGATATTTATATTTTAAATAGTAATTTGATTTTTTTTATAACATTTAAAATTAAAATGAAGAGAGAGAAGAGAGAGGTAAGTGTAGATTTATGAAATTGTTTGATAGTGAGGAGTGTGTTGATTGATTTGTCTTACATTGAAGATTGTACAGAAAAAAAATGATATTTTTAAACCGATTTTTTTTTAAATATGAATTTTGTATCGTTATATTTATTATTATAACTATAAGTATCACATTCAAACTTTACTAAAGTACTCATTCAAAGTATACATTTGCTAAGTTTTTATATTACTTAACACCTTAGCAAAAGATGTTTCTGCACATCTTCCTGAAACTTACGGAGGCAGGTTCCACCGGTGGCCGCAGCCTAAGCATCCCCAACCCCACCGGCGTCACAAAGCATCCTATTTTCTTTCATCTTGTTCACATATTGTAGACCATGGGTATTGATGACCAAAGAAGTCTCGATCTTTTTCTACTCATATGAATTCACAAAAAAAAGTGTTTAGGTTATCTCCACTGAGTCAGGAGGATAATTAACGTAATAATGAAATTTTAGACATAAAACTGAGAATTAAATATTTTATTCATGGGTTATATATATCAACACGAATACTATACGAAAATAAATGAATTGACACAATATGCCACAAAATAATTAGTTAAATGAGTTGAGTTATCATTAATTAATGTTCGACACGAACTCAAAATTACATGACACGAACACGATCCGATATGATAAGTCATAATACGATTGCCACCCATAGCAGGGACGACACTCGTGGACCCCAATAGCAAGCTATTGTGAAGGACCTTTCCCTAAAAAAAATTAAAAAAATTAATTTAATATTATGCAGGACAAATGTCCCATGTATCAGATATTAAGTTTTTTTTTTGATTTCGAAATAATAAAATGATAAGAACAAATACTACACTCCAATTTAACATAGACGGATTCACAATACAAATTCCAAGCAACACAAATTTAACCATAAATAGTGATAAATAAGTTCCTTATGAATTAAATAAGATTAATATTGTAAAACTTACACGGTTTAAAGACACTGCATGATGTTATAATCCTAGTAAGAACTCAGCCCACCTCTTACGCAGGAAAAGTACATGTGTGTGACAGAGAGAGTAGTTCTTCCAACCGTAACAAAAGGTGAGAAGAAGTGAAGTCAAAAGGCACGAACACCCTGCAAAGTTGATGGAGAAGTCTTTGCATTTCTTAGACGCTGTTGGAAGAAAAGCAAAAGAGCAATCCGTGTACCAAGAAAACTATTCACTCACCAATAATGAGCATTTTTGTTCATCTATTTTAATGAGAAAAGTCTGGACATCTTCCTAAGATCAATCATTCAAGTTATTGGGCACCTAAAAAAAAAAAAAAATTTGCAAATGCTTTTAGAATCTAACAAGTAATTTTCTTCATGAATGTCGTATGTTTGAGTTTTAGAACCAATCTCTCTAATGTAGAATAAAATTTCCATAAATGTCGTCTGTTCATTCAATGCTAGAATCACTATTAATCCAATAGACATTATGTATTAGTTCCTCAAATTAGGTTCTAACAGTCTTCTAATAAACCATGTCTCACAATCGCATCGTGTGAGTCAGGTTTAGGTTGAATTTTAGCGGATCCGTGTTAAAAAATACTCCATTCATACTCGATCCGTTTATTAATTCATGTTTAGTGAATCATATTATATTGAGTTTGCATCGTGTATGAATCATTATAATCGGTATATAAATGAGTCGTGTTGTGTATTTTTATTGATTGATTTCACCCGTGTCAAATTCATTTATTAATCATGTTATATCAAAACCACTCGTTTACGAAACGAGCGGTTTAAGGAAGACCCAAATCTCTAATTTTGATACCCCAGAACAAATTATAATTTTTCATCCATAATCTAACAATCTTATGATTTCGAGGTGATGTGAAACCTATTCATCTCATTGAAAGCATAATGTGAGACAATTATCAATTGGGGGGGGGACAAAGTGCAATTAATCCGTTGTTAAAATTCTCCCTTCTGGGTGTGTGCTTGAAAAAAAATAACGAACGTAATACTAATACCGTGGGATTGGCCACCAGACTATAATAGAAAATTCCTTAAAGAAGTCGACTTCAAAGTCTTGTTACATGAGGAGGAAAAACCTTGTTACTGGGGCTATAGGTTTACACAGTAAACACTTTGTATGTCTACATGATGTATTGAACTATAAGCAGTGTACATTCCTCTAATTAAATTCTAGCTTTAGAAAGGAAGGGTTAATTATATTCTCTTCAATTCAAAATTTTTTTTTATCAGATTTAATTTTGCTACTCGTTTTTCAACTTTCGATAAATTTGAACAAGTCAATAACTTTTGATGACAATCTCAACTAAAATTACAACGTGTCATTGTGGATGAATAAAGTGATGCCTCCGTGACTTTTTCTATAGAAATTTTGCAACAGCCATTCATTTGACTTGATTGATATCTTGTGGAAGAAGGAGAACAAGATTCTCAAAAAATACTTTAAAGATTGAATTGAAAATCAGTCTAAACTGTGAGGGGAAAAAAGCCTTAAATAATCCAAGGAAAAGCTTTTAAATACCAAAGAAGAAAGAAAAAAGTTTGTTGGGTGGGCCACCCAACTAGAATATATATAATACTTTTTTTTTGTCCTATTTAGTACAAAAGGAAAAAATCTATTATAACTTTAGAAAATATTAAAAAAAAAATGAAAAGCCATGGGTTGGGTCACGTTTGAAATAAACTTCAGGGGAATAGTGGCAAAAGTGATAAATTTAGGGGTTGTTGATAAACTCTTTGTATTAATAACAAGTTCGATTTTAGAAACTTTTTGAAAAAATAGTTAGATTATAGAAGTTATATCAAAATCAAGGATAAATGTGGAAGTTTGATAAACACAAAAGAAAATAGAGAAGTGGAAAAGAGGAGTGTTGATAAAGGAAATGAGCCCATTTCCCACACTATGAAGTACAAGGGCTATGCATGTCATATTATAGAGAGGAGTAATGCAAGCGATCTCAAGTTTTAGAATTTAAATCGATAAGAATTATTGGATAATTTGTGCTCATTTAAGATACCATTTGGGA